GGCGCGGCGAGAGGGGGCGGGGAGGGATCGGAGAGGCACAAAGCGGCGGGGAAGGGGGAGGGACGCACGCGGCTCCTACCCAGAGGTGAGTGGGTGCGACTGGCGCCTTCTAGCCGCGCGGGGCGGCGGACCGGGAGGATACGGAACCCCGAGCGCCGCGGCTGCGGGCGCCCGAGAGAAGGAGGAGGAGGAAGAGACGGAGGAGGAGGAGGAGGCGGGCTGGCGAGCGGACCAGCGGGCGGGCGGGTGCGCAGCGCGAAGAGGCAGCCTCGGCGCCGCCTGGCTCGGCGTCAGGTGAGTTCTCGGCCCCGGCGTCCCGCGTCCCTTCGCCGTCCCCTAGGGCTCCTGGCTCCCGCGCCAGCCCTCAGTGCGCGCGGGGAGGCGCGAGGTTTGCGCGCGTCCCAACTTGGTCCCGGCGGCCTCATTCTCCTCCCAGCGGGCGGCCCCAGGCCGAGGGCGCCGGTCCCGAGGCTTGACGCGCTCCAACTTTGCAGGGACCCGCGTCCGTCTTCCGCCGCGCGCTCGGCTCCGCGCTGCGCGCCTGCGGTAATGGCGGCCCCTTTGGCACCGCGCGCTACTCCCCGCGGGCAGCCGGAGGCTGGGGGACGCCGGTCCCGGGGGATTGTTGCACCTGCCCGACCTCAACTTTCAGCTTTCCTCCGTGCCCGGCTCTCCCGAAGCACGGCCGCCTCGAGCCCGCCGTAATGGCGGACTCTTGGCCCCGCTCGCCACCCGCGGCGGGGGGCCTGAGGCTGGGAGGGCTCTGTTCCTGAGGGACGTTGTTGCTCCCGCCTGGCTTCCAACTTTGCGAGGATTCTTACCGCGCTCCCGGGAATGGCGGGGCCGCCTGCACCTCTTACTTCCTGCGTCCGGGCGGGATTCGGGTGCAAGAGCACTGGCTCCCAGAGCCTAGGAAAGTTGGTCGAATGAGGCTCTAGGGCTCCGGGACGGGCTAGGGGCTCACTCCCCTGGGATTCAGGGCTCTGCAGTGTACCGCGCACGAGCAGTGGGTTTGCGTTCAGGTAACTGAGGGTCGGAGCAGGGTCCCCCATGAGATCCAACTTCCAGGGACACCCGAGGTGTCCGTGGGCCCGAGAGTCCGGACAGGGTTCTCCGGACTGTGCCCTAGAGATCTCGAGCCCCTCGCCTCCACCCCAGGGCACTGTGGCCGAGGCGCCCGCGGCTCTCGGCTCGCTCGGACCGCGCTGTCTGGGGCGGGCACCCGGAGAGGAGGCGCGCACCGAGAAGGCAGCAGAGCGAGAGCAGATAGCTTCCGAGTGACACCCCTGGGTTCTAATCTTAGATTTACCCTTTACTTGCTGTGTTGCCTCAAGTTAGTCCCTTTACCTCTCCAAGCCTCAGTTCTCTTGTCTGTAAAATGAGGGAAACAATACATTTCTCGTGCGACTGGACTGTCGTGGGGACCTTAAAAATCACAAATGTGAATGTAAAGCCCGAGGCAAGCGCTCAACACGCGGGAAATGTTGCTGGTATTTTATTATTATAACGCCCCGGAATGGATCTGGGAGACTAGAGGGTCGGGAGTTTCCCGCCAATAGGAACCAGGAGTCTGCCCCTTAGGGTCCCCAGGCTGCGTTGGATTGGGCGTGCACGGGACCCAAGTAGCCCCGGGAAGACTGGCAGGTGAGACCTCTCTACTCCCATAACCCAACTCAAACCCTGAGCTCAGCCCCAGAAGAGCGCCCAAGCAGCCACAGAGGGAGTGTCCCTGGGCAGAGGTGTGTGTGATGCTGGGAGGGCACCCAGGACCCATCGTCTGGCCTCTGGTGGCCCAGTACCTTGGAAGAAAGGAGGAAGGAGCTTACTCCTCAAGCTAGTCCCCCAGAGGAATGAGGGAAACTTCCCCATTTCTTCCACATTTCTCTAATTGGGATTGCAGCAAACACACTGAGTTCATAAAGGTACAAGGGAGCGTTGATTTTCCCCACTGATATTTTGAACTTTAGGTAAAACTGAGAAGGAGCCTCTTGTGCCCCAGCCTGCAGGGCTGCCATCCATTCTCCTCTGCTCTCAGGCATCTCAGCAGAGAGATTTGAGAAGCCTTGACATGTGTCCAGAGGGAGTCATCCTGTCCCACCATTTCCACCCTCCCACCCGTCCTTTCCACGAGTTTCCAAGAGCACCCATAAGGGCACACAGCTTTGTGTTGTCTCCAAGGTGCTGTTGCACACCAGGTATCCCAGGAATACTCTAAAAACCTCCCCCACGTCACCAGCACAGCGATCTGAAATCCCATTTTGTAGCTTTGGAAACTGAGGCAGGGCGAGCCAAACGCTCCACCCCTAATCACCTATCTGGTAAGTGGCGCGACTCATAAGCAGTCTGTGCTCCTGCCTTGGCACCGACAGACCCATTTCTTGATACACCTGCACAGCTGGAGGCTACCCCAAAATCCCAGTCACGAAGGGAAAGAGTAGGCAACATAGAGAGATCTGGTAAGGACCCTTGATTGAGGCCAAGCTTAGCTCACTCTATGCATATGTGACCCCTATCAGAGCTTCAATTCCATTATCTGCCATATGAGGACAATAACTTCCACAAGGGATTGTTTTGAAGATTTTGTGATAACGTATGTCAAGAGTGTTCTGGAACAGTACTTTAATGCCAAGATTGGTGATTATAGAAGAAAGAGAACCCCAGAGGGAAGTCTCCTGTGGCACCATTTGAGGCCAGTAGCGTGGATGTGGTTTCCAGACCAGCCTGTTGTTTGTTCTTCCTACGTCTTCGTTTTCCCCAAATGGCTAAAGCCAGCCCTCCCCGCAACCTGCCACGTTGCAAAGGCTTTGTCTTCTTTGGGAAGGACCTCCCCAGAAAGGGTGCAAGGCTAGGAGTGGCGTGGTGGGGTAGGCTGCTCCCTGAGGGTCTCTGCAGCCCAGCTGCAGGGAGCTGTCCAAGGTACCACCAGGACAGTGATCCAAAAACTTTCCCACTGGTGGGGGTGCTAATTCCCTAGACTGCAGGAAGATTGGGGAGCAGTTCATGTGGGTGCTGTGAGCACATGCAGGTCCGTCCGTGCTGCCTTCTTGGGTGTATGTTCTGGTGTGTCTTATGACAACAGTCAGTATGTCGCTTGTTACTCAGGTTCTGGGGTCTTTGCATGCGTTATTGAACCTTGGAATGTGGTAGAGAGCTTCAGGCAACAATTGTGCCCGTTAGAACTGGGGCTTTTTCCTACTAGCAACCAGAATGCTCAGAAGTTGAATTTGGCATTCCAGGAGAAATTTTCATCTGGCCCTTTGAATAAAGGGGCATGCTTCCCACCACTGGTCAGTGTGGGTTTGTGTAGTTAACACCACAAAGGCTGCAACAACTATAAACACGGCCATTTTCCTCATTCTAATACACAACAGCATTTGGACATATCTAAACTGTCAGATGCCAAAAACATCAGCCCAGGGGCCATCAACATCTGAATCCACCAAGAAGTTGGTTAAAAGCAGAGATCCCATCCCAGATCTAATGAATCAGTGTCCCCAGGGAAGACTTGAAGTTTCTATGTTTTTAACAAGACTTCTCCAGGAGATTCTAATGCCCTCAGCTTTTGTTGAGCACCCTTATTTTACAGATGGAGAACCCAAAGCCCAGAAAAGAGGCATCACTTGCTGAAAGTCACACAGCACCGTACTGAGAAAGCTAGGATACAACCTTAGTGCCTTGACTCTTTGCCTGGTGCTCATTTATGATAATGCCATGTTTACTTCAGTGTAGAGAAGCCCCACAGATTCTGTACTTAAAAGAAGTTTAATTTCGTCTCTCTCCTAGTTGTTGTCATAGATTGGACAAACTACTCAGGAAAGAATGAGCATGATTCCCCCACCGTGACCTTGCTGTGCATTAGCCCTGAGTCCTATTCTAACGTTGGGCATTAACTCCGTTGGTTGATCCATCTGTCTTTTTTAGGGAGGAAATTCCTTTTTAAAAATAATCTTATGGGTATAATTTTGGGAGCTAGATAATCACAGGAGCTAATAAATCCTGTCTACCTATCATTCATTTCACCAGAGCCATTGGTTTGGGCTCATTGCAGCTGCCACGTCAGTCTGCACCCAACCTTTGTTAAGTCCTACATATGTTTATGCCACTTACATGCCCGTTCCTAGGGAAGGAGAATGATGAACAGGACTCTGCAATGCTGGAAAATTGAGTCCATGTGAATCTATTAAATGAAAAGGATCTAGCAACAGAAAATGCCCCTAAGTCCCCAAGGAAAGTGCAGCTAACGGGGTGCAGCAGACGTCGATCTTGGCATAGTTGTATTTAGCGAGGATAAGCCAAAGACGAGGAGCAGCTACGTGTGGTTCTGCGGCAGACGTCAGCACATTTGTCAGATGTGTAATGATGAGTGATAAAAGGCAGACCCAGTGCCCGGCCCCAAGGGCAGGTGCCAGGATTAAGGTGGTGTGAGCCCTGCTCTGACAAAGCCTGCAGTCTGGTTGGGCAGGGGTCCCTGAACAAACCCTGTACCAGGCTTGAAGTCTGCACAAGAGAGACAGAGGTGAAATGTTTCTGCAGCACCTAGGATAAGTGACTGGCAGTATGAGGGAGGACTTCACAGAGGAGGCAGCAGCAGAACTGGTAGCCTCCTGATCTGTAGCACCCTCTCAGTGACAGGGTCTCCGATGCCAAACAAGGTCTCCAATGCCGAACTGGGTCCAGTGCAGCCAGGTTGAAAGGCAGAGCAAACAGCAAAAATCAAATGAGGATGTCATTTGGGGAAGCGTCTGATGCCAGGCTCTCTGGCACTTGTGGATTCTGTGACTCGGGGTGAGTGAGTTAGCCTCTCTGAACCTCAGGCAGGTCATCCATTAAATGGGGGCTATAACTACTGCATGGGGTTGTTAGAAGGATTGAGTGAGACAGTGTAAATGTAATTCTGGAAAGGGGACAGACAGCATCAGGCCTGTGTCAGTGATCAGAACAAAGAAAAGAAATGCAAAAAGGAGAGACCCCTTTAGTTAGCCAGCTCAGATAGGCCCCTTCCACTCACTCAGCCCCACTCTTCTCATCTATGAAATGAAGGAGCTGGAATTCAAGGGCAACTGCATTTGGAAGCATGCAGATACGTTCTGTCTGTCTGGTACAGGGTTTGTGTTTTGGTTTGGTTTGATCTGGTCCGTTTTTGTTGCCTTTAGATCATAGCCCCCCACCATTAAATATTGTTTATGTCACTTGCCTGCTTTGAGACATTTCAGTTTACGACCCCTGGACTAACTTTCCTCCACGATCTTTTCCACCTTACGTTCTATGTCTCGCCTGAGAAAAACAGTCGCCCC